GGGGGCATGAAGAAGCAAAGAGCAGTCTTGCTCCCTGTCTGGCCATGGCAAAGCTCTTGCTGACTCAAGGATGATAGGAGCAGCTAAGACTCCCCTGAGCATCTTCGGTGGCACCGCGGAGCCGTGGCGGGGACTCACCTGGGACCAGCACCGCAAGTACCTGGACACTGCCTTTCGGGACGTGTTGTTCCTCATGAGCTCGTCGTCTTTGCAGGGCACCTTGGCGAGCAGCTGCTGCACCTGTGCCGGGGTGGCATTGGCAAAGCCCGCAAACTTCTCGGGATCCACGGAGCCGCTGAAAGCACAGATGAAGCATTTCCCGTCCAGGAGGGCGACTATGATCCAGACGACAGGGGCAATCATGGCTTGCTGCAGGACGGAGGAACACATGTACCTGGGGCAGGAGAGAGACCGGTGAGTGGGTATGTGCTGTGGGGCTGGATGGACACAGATTGCCTTGGTGCTGAACAGCCCCTTCCTGAGCTAATTGATTCACAGGACTTTCCCCAGCTTTGCTCCAGCTAATGTCTTTTCTGCTCCGGGTCTCTCTGCCGGTGCTGCCTTCCACTGCAAACCTGCTCCAGCACATGGTAGCATATTATCTAAATTTGGCGCAGTGCATGGTCCTGTCATTTCGGCTGGAAAAAAGCCTAAGCGCTTGCCTTAACTGTATACTTATCTCTTCCAAGCACAAGTCCTTGTCAGCTCTCCCTTTTCTTCTTCATTCCTTCTTTCCTCTTGCAATTCAGCTTCTTCCTGGAGTATCACTTGCTCTTTGAGGCCTTTCTTGCCTCACACTGTGCCAGCCTCTCCCCTTATAGAAGCATGCAGAAAAGAGGTGAGCTTTACGGTACATCGAAGCCGGCTTGTGGTGATATCTCACTAGCCAGCTCAGAAACATGCTAGCTACCATCTCTACCTAGTGTTGCACTGTCTGGTTAAACATGCCCTTAGCTCAGTAAGCGCTCTCTAGGTCTGGGTGAACAGCAAATAAAACAACTATGCAGTGGGCATGTTGCTGCTAAAGGGTCTGTTCTGAAATTGCACTGAGCTCTGCTTAATCCTGCTTATATCTGGGAAAAAAAAAATGTTGGCTGGACTGTGCTGGTCTGTGAAAGACTGCTCTCTCAGGCCCTCAAAATGAAAAGCTCCCCCACGCATGATCCATGTCTTTCGTGGGATATGAAAGCACCGTGTGTCTTTATAGGGCTGCATCGAAGCCACACTGTGCCGCTGTCGTTCCTGCTGGGCAGCGCGGCATGCTGTGAGCATCCTCCTGGGAAGCTGGGAAGGCCAGATGCCTCTACGGGAACCGATTTGCCGGAGACAGCCTCCGGCTGCCGGAAACCCCTGAAGACTTCCAGACCCTGCTGAGCCCCGCACCCGGGCCAGGCGGGCAAGCGCTGCTCTGTGTGTCTGAGCTGACTTCCAACAGCTTCCGTCCTGGGCATGGGGTAGGAGCTTGCATGTAATGCAGTGACTCCGGGTCTCCTCCCTCTTTAGCCAGTGTAAATGGGCAGTGACTCTGCTGGAGGCAGGGGAGTCATGGCACCGCTGATAAGGAGCGACTGGGACAAAAAATGCCCCTCGCTGCCTCTTTTTGTGCTTTTAAGTCCCTGCACGAAACCCGCCTGCGTATGTGCTAAAGGGCAGACAGTGATGTGGTTTCCCAGCGCCCCAGCACCAATCCAGCCTCCAGCGGGAGGCACTCCTGCCCAGCATTGCCGGGGATGGGGACCAGCTGCTGGCAGGGGCCGGGTCTCAGGAGTTTAGACGAAAATGAAATAGCAGGGAGAGCCGAGACACGACGGTGAGACGCCGCTGCCCCCGCGATGCCCACCTGATAACGGCC